GTGATGTCGCAGCGTTGGGGTCGGGAAGATGGAGAGACTTGGAGCTGAGTTCGATGTCCGGGTTCAATGCGACAGGATGTAGTGTGCGGTAGAGATGGGTGATGAAATAGCTGAGGTCGAGTTTCAAGACTGACGCTGTTTTCGCTCCGTCTTGGCCTTCGAGTAGTGCAAAGGCTGTAATGACGCAAAGGAGAGACTCGCGCGTAAGGTTGCGCTCGGGTGCTTCGTTATCGTCATCTTCATCCGATGCGTCTTCGTCGTCTTCAACTGCGGCAGCGGCCGTAAGCTCGGCGGTGGCGATGATGTCTCGAAGAGCTTCCAGGATATCTCCAAAGAAATCTTGGTTGATCAGGTGTGCGTATCGTGCCAGACCTTCCAACACCGCACCCATGAGTTTGGGCGAGCGAGCCTTTAGGATTCGGAAGTATGCCACAAACACCATCTTGAGCGTCTCAGCCTGCATCCTGTCACGCTCCTCGTGACTGACAGCTGCATCCGCCTCCTTGAACTCCTTCTCGATCGCTTTCCTCTCCTTGAGCTCCTTTCGTAACCTCTTTGTCCTGAACTCGCGCTTCTGCTTCATCTTCTTGCCATTGACCATTGGGTCTTCCGCCTTGTCGACGGAATGATATGAGGCCTTCTGCGCAAACTCTGACAGTAGCCGCAGGTGCAGAAACGTGTTCAGCACGCTTTCGTCGAAGTGGTAGTTCCGGCTCTTCATCATCTTTGTCAACATAGTGACGGCTTCCAGCGCAGCGTTGCCATCCTCATCGTTCTCAAACAGGGTTTCCATGGCCTCCCTGCATCGTACAAAGTCGGCATCCACCCTCCTCGTGCTAAGTTTGCCAACGAGAATCTTCAACAGCTCTCCACGGAAGTTGAAATGCGGCACCGAGTTGAGCAGGTTGCATGCGCAGCTGACAGCGACTGTTGCCAGACCAGCCATGTGCTCTTTGTCCGATCCGCTCGACTTTGCTAGCCTCGCGAGGTGCTTTACATATGCCTCGTAGCTGGATACCAGCTTCTGCTCGAACTGCCGCAACTTCTTGACTTCCTTTGAGATCTTCTCTTGCATCTTCTCTTCCGACAACGGCCGAATCCTGTATCCGGGGATAATGTCCTTGAAGATGGAGACTTGTGTCGCCAACGCCAGCTTCTTGACGGTAATGTTGTCCGAGTCGGCGAGGGCTTGCAGTGCCTTGAGCGCTCCAACGTGCTCCTCGGGGTCCTCGTTGACCAGACCTGCTATCCGCGCAAGCTCTTCCTTGGCGTCGAGTATCTGTTGTCGCGCTGGTATCTTGGGCTTCTCCTCTTCCACGTCTTGTAGATGCGACGCCTCGAGCGCCCCGTCGTCGCTGCCAGAGGCGAGAAAGCTGTCGGATTCTTCCTCTTTGATATCCTGCGCATTGGGCGGCGCCGCTACCCATCCCTCGGTTGTCCTGACGGGCAGCTTCTTGTTCTCCCTCTGCTTCTTCAGTCTGCGTGGTCGCGTTTCGTAGTCTTGTTCGAGATGCCATTTCGCGGCGTTCTTCACGAAGTTTGCCTGGTGGTCTTCGGCCGCGCCGCTGGCATGCTCGCCATGTTCGGGTGGAGACAGCCGCCTTCTCTTCGCAGCCGGGACGCGAGACATGGCGCAGGTGCTCGTGGGCCGATGTGGGCGACGGTCAGGCTTGGTTGGGGATTGCACACCCGACTGTCTGAAATTTTGGCGGAGGCTGCGGAGGAGCCTAGCCCGGCTAGCATGCGCCCCACAATTTTTTGGCAGCAGAGGTCGACTTTGCGAACATGCGCCCAGCCCCAACCTCAACTCAGCACTTGTCTACATACGCCCACGATGAGGCCGCTCACAGAACCAGAGACCAAGACGCTCTTTGAGAAGCTCGCGACGTATTGCGGAAAGGGCATATCGAACCTCATCGCCGACCCTACAGGCGGGTTGGATCGCAATGTCTTCCGCGTCCAGGTATTCACTCTTCCAACCGCCCCCACCCGTCCCCAGCTAGCTCAACTTGCTAACAATCAACGCATAGGGCTCACGAGTCTACTACGTCCGCGAGTCCCTTGCCAATCTTGCCACATCCGTCGCGCGCGACAACCTCCTCTCTCTCGGCATCTGCCTGGGCAAATTCACCAAGACGGGCAAATTCCGCCTGCACATCACCGCGCTGAGTGTAATCGCCCCGCACGCACGATACAAGGTCTGGGTCAAGCAAAACGGCGAGATGCCCTTCCTGTACGGCGGCAATGTGCTCAAGGCGCATGTCGGACGGTGGAGTGAGGATTGCCCAGAACATCAAGGTGTTGTTGTGCTGAGCATGAACGATACGCCATTGGTAAGTCGGCCGCCAGCTGTAAAGCGACGAACCGAATCTTGGGCTAACATGTAACATCAGGGCTTTGGTGTGAGTGCACGATCGACGGCTGAGGCGAGGAAACTGGATCCTACGGGTATTGTCACCTTCAGACAAGCGGATATCGGAGAATACCTGAGAGAGGAAGACACTTTGTTCACAACTTGAGCGGCCGGGAGCCTGTGCGACCATGGACACTCTGCAAGAGAAGCTTACTGCTTCGCCACAACCGGGGCCAGAAACCAAGGCTCGCGTGCACGGCATATCCGTTTGCTACCCACTCGCATTCACTATGACAATACGCTGAGTAGTCCATCTGATGGTATCTAAGCATGAATGACCAAAGCATCATGCGCCACTTGCATTGTCATGCTGACTTGGACTTGCTCTTGCTTGTCCCAATGATTCTAATCTACATAAGTTTTGTGAAGCCGGTCGCTCGGCAAGGGTATCAATGTCTGATTCTCGTCTCCCAGCCAAGTAGAAGCTGCACTTGGAAAGTCGTAGTCTGCTGCTACACACTTCACCGCCGAAACTCCGCGCTCAACCCAGTTTCTCAAGAAGCTTCCTCCTCCTGCGCTCGACTAGCTCGTTGTTGACCTCGTCAAGGGTTGGGATGCGCCATCGTATGCCGTCGCCCACGTCACCGGGTAATTCCATCCACTCCTTCTGTGTTTTGCTCGGCTTTGCGTCCAGTTCATCGCCGAGCAACATGAAATTGTCCCAGGCCTCCTGCTCTTTGGCCGTTTCATATGCTAGCAGCGTGCCGTCCTCTTCGTCTAGGTTGTAGCCGTAGTAGCCCGCATCCACCTTCTGCCTCAGTTCACTCCTCTTTTCGCGCCCCTTGTCCATGTCGTCTTCCGGTCTGCTCTGCCTCTCGAACAACTCCTTGACACCCGGCAGTTCCTTGGCTCGTCCAAAGTATCTGTATCCCTTTCCTCCTCCTGGCACCTCCCGCCCTTCTTCGTCAAGCACTCGCCCGCCTCTCATGTAGTTCGGTCCGCCCAAGCCTCTTATCTGACTTTCCCACATGTGCTTCTCTCTCATGAGTTTGTTGATCTCATCGTTGAGGTCGCGGATCTGGTAGTCTGAAAGGGCTTCGTCCTGGATCTTTGTGACTTTGCGCGAAATCTCCTTTAGCACCTGACCGCGCCATTTCTCGCAAACGGGAATCGAGTTGACAGAGGTGATGAGCTTGGGGCGGCGGGTACGCGATATGTCGATGATACCAGCTTCCGCGGCCTGCGCAGCGCGGAAGCGGAAAAGCATCGAGTGCGCTTTTTCGGAATTACGCGCCATGCTTGCGGTCCGGACTCGGGTTCGAGCTCCACGTTGCTGTAAGGTCGCAGGGGCGAGAGGGCCTCCTTCGATGGCAGTAGCTTTCTGTCGGAGCTAGACGGCGTGCCGTGGCGCGCTTTGGTGTCTTGTCGGGGCGAGATTTTATTAGGCGTAATATACGATGCTCCAAGAGAAACAGATGCTGCCCCGCAGTTGCAGAAGTGAAGATTTGACAGAAACAAGATGCGCGATTGGTGTTCGTGTTGTCGTGGTCGAAGAAAGACTCAACGTGACAGGCGCGTTGGCTGGAGCAAAAGTTTAGTGTCCCGGCCTACTGTCTTGGCGTTATTGCGCACCCACTTGGAATTCGGGACCGCCACAATCCCGTCTTGATTTGTTTTGGTGCTGCAAGACGATTGCTCCATTCATAGCACACTGACGACCCCTCTTGCAGCCTGTTTTGACATTGTGTCTAGTTTTGCTCTTGGCAAGAAGCAATCATCTGCACCACAAGGACGAAATGCAATGTGCAATCAATCTCGATCTTGTTTTATTTTTTTTATCAATCTGACCAGAGACTGTCGACGCTACACTTCTAAGCCCAGGTACAGACATTACATAACGCCCCTATGCTAAATATACAAGTAAAACAATTCTGAATGTTGCAGGTCGAGGGGAGAAAAACGAATCGGCCGCATATGTTTGAGATGCGCTTCTAGTAGAACGGAGACAAGACGGAGACTAGTCTAGGTGGGAAGCGTCAGGTCATCTCAGTGTACAGCTCCAACCCCAGTCGAGCGAACTGCGCAGAGTAAACAGGAAATACTTCACCGTTGAACGCCATGCACAAATCTCCTTGAATCCGCATTCGAATTTGAGTTTCTGCTTCGTCCGGATCCAAACCGAGGTGTAACGTCCAAAGGCCGAAAGATGAATTGATAGATACATAGGAAAATGGGAATGGCCCCCATACGCAACGACTAGTGCTAAAGGAAAAGAGACCGTCAGTTAGACCAGATGACTAGAGAAGCGTCGTGCGGGACAAACGCGGATGACAAAATAGGAAAGGTTCAGGTATGAGGTGAGATTATGCACCAGCTCCATAGTTCGCTGCCTCCATCTCAGCCTGATGGCGCAGCTGCTCGTTGCGCATCTCAGTTCGCGACTCCGTACGTGACTCCGTACGTGACTCAGTCCGGGACTCTGTGCGAGACTCAGTTCGGGATTGCGCGCGCGAACTTATGGAGCCGAAGAGCGAAGGCCTGGAAGCTGAAGAGTTGACGTGCCGACCTTTGATTGAATGTTGATGAAGATGTGCAACATCGTGCTTGCCTTGTGGACTCGTTAGCTTTCCTACACTGATGCAAACAATCAAGGGGTCTTACCATCGCAGCATGCTCGGACGTTAGGCATGAAGTCCTGATCACGTTCAACATGGTCATGGATATCACGACTGAGATCCATGTTGGACGCGCTGGGTTCCTCGTACGTGGCCGACTCTGTAGCGCTGGTCCTGCTGTTTCGCCGACTAGTGAAGGATCCGCGTAAAGCAGTGACGCTGGGTCGGAGCATGCTGTTGATTCGGCTGGAAACAGATCCATGCGCCAGCGGCTCGGTCGAGGTTGCACGATGTGGTGTAACATGCGACTGTCGAATCGTGGGCACTTGGCCATAATCGCGAGATGATGTGCGCCGGGTAACGTATGAGGACATCGAGCCTCTTGAACGGCCTGTTTGCCGAGAAGAGCTGCGATACCCGCCATTGAACTCGTCTTGGATCTCATCTGCGGTAGCTGCCTTCTGGTCTTGATCAGACTTCGTTGGCGACTTTTGCTGATCGTTCTCGTCGACCCGTTGGCACAGATAATTCAGAGCGTTATACCACGTCTCGTGCCTCTGACCTGTTGTAGCCGTGAACTTCATCGATCGACCAGGTGTGACGACAAGCAAGCTTTTCTGGTGAAGCCCAGGAGGTAGAGGGTTAGGGTCGTCGACTTCTTGAACAGATTCGATGGCTACGCTCTTAGCCTTCAATGTCGTCTTATCGGCACTCTGAGGGTCTCGGTCGCTCCAGTACAGTGTCCTAGTGTAAGGATGAATCCAGAAGAAACGCCGGTGACGGTTCTCAGACATGCCTTCGCGCCCAGTCTTGCGAGTGTACTTCCACAGATATTCGCCAATCATCGTCTGAGTGATGGCCTGGATCATGCGCGGATCTGTCGCACCGGGTGGCAATCCATTGGCAGCAAAAGACGGCCCCCCTGGAATATTGAAGCGTTGGTCTATTTCCGAAGTAAACGAAGATAGTGATGACCTCCGGCTAAGAGGTGAAGACGCTCCGCTACGCTGTGACTGTCGACGCACACGCGGTGTGGTCCCGCCTGTTCTGGGAGTGAGAGTGTTGTTACCAGTCTTGATGGTAGGCGTATGCGGTCGCTTCTTGTAGGCGGATGCAGGCATTGTAGGCGGGCCCATTGTGCCTGGGGAGATTGGTTTGAGAGAAGCCGCGGCGATGACTTCCTTATGATCCGAAGGCAGAGGAGGAGGCGTTGCAGCGCGAGAGCGCATGCTCCCCGAACTGCCTGGGCGTTTGGATGTTCGACTTGTCTCATTGACATACTTTTTGCTAGGCGACTCCGGCGGCGACAGCGACTTTTCAAGCCCGGACGTGGTTATCAAACTACTCCATCGCTGACTTCGAGCAAGCAGCAGCTTGTCGATCTGCTGAGCAGACACCATTGTCTGTGTAGCTCCATCGGCCATTGGCGTTTGGGGAGTCTTACTGGCGGCATTGACACTGACAGGTGGAAAGGCTGTGCTAGCATCCCTGCTATCAACCGGTGGGGTGTTAGCGTCCGTGGTATTCTTATTCCAAGATAGTAGAGTATCGAAGTAGCTGAGCTTGGGCGTGGATACTTGCTTATTCGCCGATGCTTCTGTCTGAGAAGAAGCACTAGTGGTTACGGAAGGCGCGGCGGCCCGATGAGCGATACCAGGTCGCGGAGGAGCCAATGGTTCAGTATCCTGCGCAGCAACAGGGGACAATGTCATAGCAGGGACAGAAACACGATTTGCTGTGGATGGCCGACTTGTCGGTGTTGGCAAAAATGCCGGGAGCGTTGGCGACTCAGGCTGAGTGTCTTGAACAGTCCACACATCGGAACTGTGATGTAGAGACACCGAAGGAACAGGTAGTGGGATCGGCACGGTCTGCAGTACGCAGACGGCTGACAATTGCAGTGGTATCTGTTCTGGCTTTACGGGTGTGGTGGCCTGAGACGAAACCCCAGAGAAATTAGCGAGAATTGGCCGCTCGGGTCCAATTGGCTCAGTAGTCAGCGAGGACAGTACGGAGATGGTCGACGGTGCTACCCTCAAAGGTTCAATGGGATTGGATGCCTGGATCGACAACGAAGATAGTTGTGACGGATCTGCTCTAGCCACTGCCACCGGGTCCGTAGAGCGAGCGGAGAAACTGGACAACACGAGTTGCGGCTGTCGTAGCGCAATAGGGTTCGTGACTTGTGCAGAAAGTGGAGAGAATCGTTGTCTACTGGTTCCCGGCGCGCGGGGTACTGTCGACTGAGTCGATGTCGTAGAAGATGCAGAGAGGACCACACGAGGCAAATCCTTGGGCTCAGTCGAGCGAGACACCAAAGGTGACATCTGTAACAACGTCGGCTTGTAGGGTGTGACTCTAGGCTCAGTCTCGTGGGCAGACAAACTTGACATTTGGAGTGGTGCACGCTTTTCTCTGTGACCGATATCTTGGGCAGGAGATGCCGGAAGCATATCGTCAGGGCTTCGATTTGACTCCGTTGTCGAGACATATTCGGCTAGTTGTGCGGGCTCGGTCGATTGTGCATAGATAGCAGACGTAAAAAGACCTGCTGGAGCCACTAGGGTTGGGGCAGTCGCCTTCCGCGGCTCCGTAGTTTGATGCGAAATGGAGGAGATGTCCAAAGAAGGTGTAATGTCCTTCACCAGCACTGGTACAATAGGATCAGTGCCATGAGACGATACTGTCGACACCCCAAGAGCAGGAGGAGCAATAAGGCGAGGCTCGGTGCTATGAACAGCCACTGACGACATATTCAGAGGAGCAGTGGGTACGGCATGTGGCGCCGTGTTTTGTGCATGAAGCGGAGATAATGCGAACAACGGAGCTGAAGGGATTGTTGGCTCGGTCCCCTGACTTGAAAGAGAGGACACAGCCAGCTGAGGTATCTCTGGGGGTTGGGGACTGGTAGCATGACCGGAGACGGAAGAGAAGCCAAGGGCTGGCCGAAGTGCAAGCTTGGGTTCACTGTCTTGTGAGGTGACCATGGAGACGTCGAGATTTTGACGAGGCAAAGCTCGCGGGCTTGTGCCTTGCGAATGCAGGGCAGAGACTTGTAATGTAGGCAAGCGAGCAGCATACGGTTCTGTGTTCTGACTCGATATAGAGGATATGGAAATAGGCTCGGGGGCATCCTGTTCGGTCATCGTGCCCGAATCAACCATAGTTGGCCTGGGAGCATCGGGTTGAAGAAGCGACCTTCCGAGAACAGCCTTTCTTAGTGGATCTGGCGTGGCATGGCTTGAGTATACGACACTGGATCGACTTGGTGATCCCTCGATGGAACTAGCATCATCGTCATCGCCACTCAGGTCGTTGAGTTCTGCCAATAGACTCTTGCCTTGGGCGGGAGTGTTCTCGTTGCTGCTGCTGACGTAGCCCGCGGGCGAGTCTCTTGACGCTGGGGGCGTACCTGCAAAGAAATCTAACCCTCTCGGCGTCGATCTCCGCGAACTGCTGTCTCTAGCTCTTAACGTAAAGCGCGAAGTCTTGTGGTGAAGAGGAGTCCTGAAATCGGAATCGTATTCATCGCCAGAGGCAGAAGCAGTACTGCGGTAGGAATTGATGCGACCAGCTTGTGAGATTGAGGGTCGACTACGCCGGGCAGCAGAGTTGGAAGGGCCGGCCTCGGTCTCAGTCAGCTGGTCGCTGCTGTCTCCGTCGAGGGTCTCGGCTCCGGTTTGGAATGCGTCGGACTCAGTTGCCATACCGTCGCGTTCGTTGGCAGTCTCGAAAGCAGCATCTGAGGTTTCGTTGGCAGTGTCGAGGTTTTCGTATGCGCTCGTTCCCGCGACGGAGCTGAGTGCATTTGGAAAGGAGCCCGGTACAGAGTTGGATGGGTGCGGTGGCCGACTTGGGGTGTCGGGCACGGCCTCTTGCTCTTCCCACTCGTCGTCTTCTACAATCTCGTGCGACACGTTGCGCAAGGCCCCAAGACGATCTGGTCGAGCGGGTTTCTTGAAAGCATCCTTGTCGCTCTTCCTTCGCTTGCTTGCGCTACCAGGTCCAACTTGAGCGCGGGTAGCGTCTACTTCATCACGAGCGTCTTGGAGCATGCGCTTCAGTTCGATCTTTTCGGTCTTTTCGCGATGGATATTGTTCTTGAGTTGCTGAATCATGCGGTGGGCGTGTTGAAGCGAATGTTTGAGTGTTTCCGATTCGAGCATACCGTGGCGCGGAGTGGCCTTGCTTGGAGACGGTTCAGGCGAGTGTTCAGGCGTTTGAGATTGCTGCCTGACACCACGGTCGTCATCAGACGATCTGTCAGATCGGCCACGATGCTCTGATCTTGCGCGGTAAGCGACAGCTTGAGCCAGCTCTTGATTCTTTGTCATGAGCTCTTCGACCTTGCGCTGCATTGCACCTTTTTCCGTCTCCGTCATGGCCGCGACTCGCCGCAGACTAGAGAGCTCCGTCTCGTGCTGCTTGGTCTTGTTGATGTGATCGTCGTTGAGCTTGGTATACATCTGCTTCAAATCTTCCAACTCCTTCTCCAAAGTGGACCTCTCGGTACGTGCGAGATCCAAGGCATGATTAAGGCTTCGCTCCTTGTCTGCGGCCGACTTGAACTGTGTTTCCGACTCGCGAACCTGTGTCTCAAGATTCCAGTTGACGTCCTTGAGTCGCGATTCGCTTTCGTCCAATGTTCTCAGACGTTGCGACAAGCCTTCGACCTCAATTTCGAGCTGCGATCGGTCCAGATCAGCCGCCTTGAGGGCGTCATCCTTCTCGAGGAGGACGGCCTGGAGGTCCTTGAGCTGGGAAAGCAAAGAGGTGGAGATTTCGGTGGCCAGGGCGATGTCATTGATGCGGCTGGGCTGCTGGTTCCTCTGCTTCCGCGACGGAACGCTCACTTTGGTGGGTGACTGGATGGCGTCGCTGGAGTAGATGGAGCCACCGGCAGTGGGATCCGTCTCGCCACTGGGTACGCGAGACTTGGGGAGGAAGGCGCGAGCCGTCTCCCTTCCAACCTCGTTGAACTCCTTTTCTAGCTCGGCCAGCCTCTGGCGCAGCTCTGGCCCGATGTCGTTGTCTGGCTGCTGCTGCTCGACCTCGTGCAGCTTGTCCTCTAGCTCCTTTCTCTGCTGAACAAGCGCGCTCCCCAGATGCGACGTCTCCTGCAGTCTGCGCGTCGTCTCTGCCAAGTGGGCCTGTAGAGCGCGTTTGGCCTGTAGGGGGGATCCGTTCAAGTACAGCGAGAATTGCGAGTTGTCGAAGGCCGAGTATCGCTGCCGGTGGGCGTCGTGCGGTGCGGCGAGGAAGGGGTCGGCGCCATTGTGGTGCTCCACCGAGAGCGCGCCCGGTGGAGGATTTGCTGTAGCCATGAAGAGTCGCTGGATGCGTCTGCTATTGGGTCATCTCCTGGCGTGGCTCCCCCGCTTCCACGTAGACGTGCCCGGGACGGCGGGCGGAGACGGGATGCGTTGGGCGAACGGTGCAGGGCAGGAGTGGGCGGCGAGCGCGTGTCGCGGCGGCAGGCGGCGGCGGGGGTGTTTTCCGGGTAGTATTAGAGACAAGAGCGATGGTACGTCTCACTCTGTCGGGCTGTGGGTGTAATGCACAAAGGGTTTGGGGGGCAAGGACGCGCGGGAAAGCGACTGGGGACACGGCAGCGGCTGCTGGCACTCGGTCGCGTTTCCGTCACACTAGAGAAAAGAAGCAAAGGCGCATCCCCAGGCAGGGGCGCGGGATGGCGAAGAAAGAAAAACAAGGGAATGCCGAACGGGCTGGAGGGGCTACAGAGGCGACAGAGGAGGGATCATGGTAGAGCGCATGATGTTGTGCACAAGAGCGAAATGAGGCGACCGTGCGCTTTTGCCGCTTTCACGCTTTCGCCATGGAGCCAGCGCTGATACCCATAACATATCCACAACATCAACAAAGCTACGTCTGCGCCTCCATTGGTTCGCGCCGGCACTTGCTGCACGTCTGCTGCCTAGACTGCGAGACTGTCGTGGTAGTGCCGCGGGCCGAGGGGCTGTTTGCGTGTGCGATTGGAGCGACCCAAGCACGACGCGCATCGCATTACCCCACGACCGGCATCCCGGACCGCATCACGTGACGTCGAATTAATCAGCCACAGCTGGGCTGCCTCTCTGTGCCTCACTCCTACATGTCCAACATCTCGCACCTCCGCCACCCACGAAACCCCCGGCATGGAAGCACCCGTCGTCAAGTTCAAGAAGCGAGCAGCAAAAGCTGCGCCCCGGAAGGTGGCCCCGCCGCCGCCGCCGCAGTCGGATTCGGATTTCTCTTCCGGCTCAGAAGGAGAGGGCGAGCATGGCCGCGTGGTGAAGCGGCGAAAAGTCAACGACAACGCACTCAAGGCGTCGACTGCAGACCAGAAGACGCACGCGGCAGTTGCAAGTACAACGCAATACGCAGCAAATCGCTCGGCGGTCATGGAAGCAAGCAACGATGCGACGAAGCAGTCAAACTGGTACGACGAAAATGCCCGAGACGCTCTCAGCTCCAAGAACCTGCTCGGCAGCACACGAACGAAGCCTCACCAACTCATCGAGAAGAACCCCGACGCTCCCAGTCGCCAAGTAGGACCCATGAAAGCATCGACAAACATACGGACGATTACCGTTACAGATTACACGCCGGATGTGTGCAAGGACTACAAGCAGACTGGTTTCTGTGGCTTCGGCGACAATTGCAAGTTTTTGCACGCGCGCGAAGACTACGCGGCAGGCTGGAAGCTAGACCGCGAGTGGGAGATGTCGACCAAAGGCAAGAAACCGGGAGGCACCGTTGTCGCTTCTGCCAACAGGGATGAGAAGGAAAAGGACGAAGACGGAATGGATCTGGCGCAACTCGAAAAGATACCGTTTGTCTGCATCATCTGCAAGACGCCCTACAAGAGCCCCATTATCACCAAGTGTGGACACTACTTCTGCGAGCCTTGCGCTTTGAAGAGATATCGCAAAGATCCCACATGTGCGGCGTGTAGTGCCAAGACGTATGGTGTCTTTAACGGCGCAAAGAATCTCCAGAAGCTGTTGGAAAAGAAACAGAAATGGGAGGACAAGAAGAAGGCTGAGGCAGAAGAAAAGCGGAAAGAAGAGGAAGGCGGCGACTGAGTCTGCTGGGTGACATTACGGTGGAAACATTAACAAGCCGGCGCAAGTATGCGGCTGTGCTGGGCAACAGATGGTATCGTGGATGAACAGGCCATTCCTTCCCAGTCATAAAAGCGATACGTCACCTTGGAATGCAAGACGACATGACAAGGCAGAGGCATACCCACCGCAGCTCTCATAAAGCTTGAAGAGTAAACTTGCTGGCAAAGCTGCTGTCGTTGACAGGAAAAGAAACCAAGTCGTACGCCTCGTTGCAAGGTAGACTATACGACAAGTCCGTCCTCTGTTTGAGGAGGACAGGACTGGTTTGCGAAGCATATGAGGAAATACATATGCTACAGTAATACACATAGCAAGTAGATAGTGCGCTCATGCAAGTGTACATCAATCCTAATTAACGTGTTCACACTTTTCAGCCACGCCCACACAGTTCAGTCTACCATGTCAGAGGCTCAATCTCTTCGTCTCCTCTATACTCGTCGTGATCTTCACGGTTTCAGACGACGTTTCCCTCCACAAGAAGCATGGCATATCGCCGTTAACTCGCTAGAAGATGCTGTGGATATGGAAACCAAGATGGCGTGGAAAAGTATCTGATAGTGGGAGATACTAGAGATCTAATGCGTTGCGATAGATACATGATATATACGCATACACGAGAAGCATCGAATAGCGGAAGAATACCATGGTAGTTTATTACATCTCACTTCGTTAATTTGAAGCACGTGTGGCACAAAGACAAGTAAGGTCGATAAAAGGTTCGTGATATTAATACAAGAAGGGTTTGAAGGCAAAAAGTCTAATTGTCATGTTCGCTAGACATAGAGTCGCACTCTACATCCCACTTCCGGCACCAGGAAAAGCCTTCAACAGGGTTGCATCGTACTTAATCAGCTCGGGGCAACCAAGCTCCGCAATAATCGGGTCTAGAACAGAAGCCAACTTTTGCACAGCGATCAAGACGTTGCCAACTAATCCGCGGAGGACGTCAGGAGCAGCTTCGCTGGCAGCCTGGAACGCAAGGCACATTAGGTTATTACCCTCGAGAAGCGTCCGCGCGTTGAGAACGTTGCCTGTCAAGTCGTCAACATCGACGCCAGTGAACGTGTTTGGCTGGCCAGTATTTCCGCCGATTCGGATTAATTCGGGGTGGGCTTTTTCGAGCGAAAGGGCTTCGGAAGTGAAGGCCAGGATGCTGTAGTCGTCGCCGATGACGCGGCGGTACCACTGTGATGTGTGTTAGCGAATGCAAGCGGATGGTGTTACCGTGGGTACTCACGTTCTCGGGGATCTTCTCTTGCCCACGAGCCCACTTGTAATTACCTTTCTCTCCAGTAACACCCTGGAATGACATGAGTGTCTCGGCATCAAGGTAGCCTTCTGGGTTTTCAGCAGTGTGGTTGGCGAAGAAACGGTAGGTGAATTGATATGTCGCGGGGTTAAGCGCAAGGGCCGTGAGTGGGCCTGAGAAGTAATGTCCATTCGTAGCAATCGAGTGCTTCGTGCGGTCAAGGCGGAACGCGGTCAAGACGGGGATATCGATCCCGTTCTCGCCGAGAGGCATAGAGAGGAGCTGCTCGAAATAGTCCAAGTTGAGAGAGATGGGGTTGCCACTACGAGTAATGAGTTATGCTGACCATGCAACATGCAGAAGAAACGGGAATGACATACGTTGAGTACAAGTCCCCTCGCGTGGGAGATCCATCAACCTCGAAGCGGTTGTGTGACGCACTCAGGCCTTGTGGTTCTCCGAGAAGGCCGAGTGATGAGGTGACACCGCCTAGGAGTCCACCAGTCTTAGGTTTGCCGCCAATCGAAAAGGAGGTGAGGTCACCGGCCATGACGGCGGAGTAGACTGCCAGAAATGCGGAAAGATCCAGGCCCATGCCAAACACTGACGTTGTTAGCAGTCCGTGAATAAGAGCGTAAAGGCATGCAGACCTTCATTGGCGGCCGTCGTCATTTGTGTGATTGTGGAGATGCCATTTCGGGGAAGGTAACCGTGGTTTGCCATCACGTTGATACCAGGACAGGGTCCACGGAGATCATTGGGGCCTGGCGCAATCTGACAACGAAGTCGTTAGCAAATGCAACTACATGTCGCGCATCTCGGTAGGGCTACTCACGTATTTATGGTCACCAGTGATACTGATGCGCTGAGCCTCTGCGTTGAATGCACGTTTGACGTGGGTACCCGATCGCTTGCTCTCGAAATCTCTTGAGATATTCTCTGTCAAAGCGGTGATTTCCGCAAGGGTCGCTTCACTGATGTCGCCTTTGAGCATGCTCGCAGGGAAGGCGAAGGTCGCCAATGAGAAGAGCGTTGCGCTGCATAGTACTGAGACCCTCATGTTTGCAACAACAAGCTCGGATGTTCGGGAAAGAGTGTGAAGGAAGGACGTGTAGTTGGATCGAGAAAGATGCGGTCAGCGACAGGGACGGATCGTTTAAGTTTCATAGTGGCAAATGAGTGCTGCACATACGTGGGCCGCCATGACTCTCATCTAACTGTCGCCGATAGAGATGCCAATCCGGGGTCAGGTACCTTCCAGCACAGTCATGACAGCCCGCTTTACTTGCTTCAAATCGCAGGGTGGAGGGCCTGAGCAAAGAGATCGACGTGGGCGTTCTCTCTGCACGCCTTGACCAGCCGTAATCCGCTCGCGCGAGCCATATGGTTCAGTCCGTTCCCGGGTTTGCTAAATCCCGCGACTGGTGTTAAGGAGAATAAAGCGCTCGGGCCTTGCCTAGGCAAGAAGTTAGGCTTGCACTGGGTACATCGTAGGAATGTCGAGCGAGTGTCCCAAGACTTTTGAGCCCTGAACGGCGATCCAAGCGCGCCGGACCGTGTTCGGGTGGGTACCTAGGTAGTTAAGCCTCTAGATCGGCAGCTAGATCTCGCCTTTTTTACCGCATTTGGCTGACCAACGTTGTACAGAGATGATGAACGTTGCCCGCATCGATCAAAAGCGGGTTATCTATTTTCAACACGCGTGAGGCTGCAAGAAGATTGAGTGATCTATGCATCCCGCCCTCGCCCTACTTCCATGCGGCGGAAATGGAGATTGCGCAGGTGAACACCTGGGCATGTAAACCCACCGGCAATAACACATCGGGCCAAGACGCATCCGAGACCAGCGCATGTGGTCTAGCGGGCATGATGTTTACCTAGGCCGTCGTTCATACGTGCTAGGAGGTTGAAGGTATATTCCTCGCTACCCAAGTCAGAGCCCAACGCAGGGACAACGTCGGACTGAAGACGTTATAGTTTCCAAAAGCCGATCATGGGTAACAAACCACTTTCGGGGACCAATGCAACAAGATCGGTGCATTACCCGGCGTGGGCTCCAAGTAGGGTCGCATGCGAGTTCAAGTCTCGCGCAGAGAGACCCCACTGCATGATTGGCGGCGAACAATGATACCTACGTACTATTCTAAGCGTCCCCACAAGCATATGCCAAGTTTGTACTTCAGAACAGCCCCAATGTTCTAGTTTGCGTTATAGGAGACGAATCTCAGCCGGGTACCCACCACCCAAGGAAAAGGGTGAATACCGGCCACTACCCAGGTGGCCAAATTACATCCGCAACCCTAAGTATACTCGACATCGTTCGATATAAACTGGATCCTTGTCCCACGTTAGCATCGTAACGAAGCACCACAACTGGATCTTGATATAGCGCCAAGGAGCATTCGCTTCAATTCCTTCTCCTTTGCGTTATTCTTGAGTCCAATCCAAATGGCTGCCTATGATTCTTGGGTTAGCAACCCAGACGAGAGCCATGGACCGCTCATGTCCGTCGTCACCTGGTCGCTCGTTTCTGTTTCCGCAGTCTTTCTCTTCTCGCGGCTTTATATTCGGCAGCGTCAAGGGAAGCTGTGGCTGGACGATTGCACACTTTCCGTCAGTTGGGTAATTGCCACAACATCCCTAAGCAAAGAGCAGCTGACTCATACGACATAGATCTTACTTCTGGTCCAAGTTACCATAAACCAACTGTCTATCAACATAGGCTACGGAAAACATACACTTGACCGTAAGTTGCCAAAGGAGAATTGCACATTTCACAGCTCGGAACGCTAATCTTCACGCTAGTCGATTTGCGCAATCTTGATAAAATGATGTATATCGGCGCGGCGGAACTGACGATATATACCGTCGCTATTGCGCTCAGCAAGATCTCCTTTGGACTCACTTTGCTTCGGTTGACGGACGGACGGGTCAGACTTTTCGTAATCTTTGCGATCTCTACCCTGGCGATTTTCGCAGTCCCTGCCACCGTCATACCATGGGTACAATGCAAACCGCTGGCCAAAACCTTTGTGGACCTCATACCGGGCGAGTGCATTGACAAGCATCCCTCTGTCGTGTATGGGCGTTTCCAAGCTGGTGAGCAGACAGCCTCAAAGTGTGTACCCTGATTCCTTAGCTGACATGCGACGCAGTGTGGTCAGCACTCATGGATGTGTGTCTTGCTGTGCTGCCGTGGAAAATCCTTTGGAACCTGCAAATGCGTACCGCAGAGAAGATCGGTGCAGGTGTCGCCATGAGTCTGGGAATACTGTAAGTTCATGCATCGCCGGATTGAAGACTGCGCTGACTTGGTCGAAGAGCTGGAGTTACGTCAATTATCAGATCCACATACATTGAGAAATTGACAGTCCAGGATGTATCATGTAAGGCATCTCAAGGCGTGCACGGATCATTGCTAACAGCCACAGATGAATCGTACAACTCCATCATATGGGCCGTCGCAGAGTGTTCCATGGCCATCGTGGCTACCTCGATTCCCGTACTTCGCGTCATTTTCAGGCAGGCGTTCAACTCGGCGATGGAAGGCTACACGGGCCAGAGTAAAAGCAAATCAAGATCGAACCCTTCCAACGCTGGGAGCTCGGGGAACCGATTGAGCACACGACAATTGAGCAAGAAGACGCCAGATATATCGGTCAGTGGAGAATCTGTGAAGGAAGTGTTCGGACGTGGATCACGTGGATCCAAGAACTATGTAGAGCTAGATGATTTGGTAGTCGACGAGGCGACTGGGCGCGCTACTGCTTCGTCTCTAGAGTCTCTGGCAAACGATGGCGAGCGCCATGTGCTAAACTGGCACGTGTAGCTTGCTCTGTGATTACCTAGGTAGCGCGCATAAGGCGGCTAGACCTCGAGGGGGCTACGCGCGGACAAGTCGCATAGGCTCATCAATCCATCACTCCTGCTGCTGGGGGCTGTATTATTCATAAACAACATGGAGTCAATCATACCATCAATCCCGTCACATCAAAGCTGTTGCAATCATACCGTATACCAAAGCACAATCTCAAAGACCAAGCCCAACCTAGAACCAGACCGCAGTCTGAGTCAAAGGCGCACTCTATTCTTTCATCAATCCCGTCATCATAGTGGTGGCTCCAGATGTCGGCAGAAGGCTGTGGGGCCACGTGGTTAGCGTTTTGGCTCGAGCGTCCGCGCGCTCCCCAGGACTGTCCACATGGTCGCACCCGAATGCTCAACCACGCTCGAGAGATCTTGTGCCCTAGGTGCTGCTTGGCTTCCTCGTTCCCATCATGGCCCCGACATGCTGCGCGCGCACCTGGCGACAAGTCGCAGCCACCCTTCCCCCGAGAGATTGTTGGGAAGATAAACCGGAGGACAAAGTGGAAGTGGTGGAGAATTGCCAGCGATGCCAGCACTGATGAAGAGTCATCTGCTTCTGAAGAAGAGTCATCTGCTTCTGACGATGCATCCGAAGCTAAATCCGACGAGGGATCGCAGAAAACGAACGATCCAAGAGCAGTGTCATTGTGGCGCATGTTGGCGAACGACGCTCCTGTTAGGATCCTGGCCGGAAAAGCGATTGACAAGCTCCCTTCGAAGAGAGAACTCGACGCATTCGGTAATCATGGAACGCTGATCCCACAGTTTCAATGGGCGGACAGGTCACTGGGTTACGATCATTTCTTACCTATGTTTGACCCTAAACGTGCTTCTGTGATACCAAGCGAACTCAGGGATTCTCCTTCGAAGCTTATGGACACGCCAAGAACGGCTCTACGCCGTCAGCGAGAATACGATATCCAAGGGAAACATCTCATTCGAGAGCTGTTCAAGAGCCATATGCAACGGTCAATACACAGGGATGAGTTTATCATCGCTTAGAGTGACATCAACTGACAGTTGCATTCTAGTTGAGAAAGAGGCATTGCACATGGGCGACCTGGAGCCCGGTGGCCTCGGCCGGTATATGGAGCACAAGTCCATGGTAACGGCCATGGACAAGTTTGTCATGAGCGACATCAACACAGGCCCGTTCGAGCTCTGCAAGTTCATGCACATGGCACCTATCATCCAAAGTGAACGTCGGATCGTTGACGAGGCTTCCAGGCTTACGCCGCCATCGCCTTGTTCTACCAGACGGAAGAGTTTCTTGCTTCCGAGCACGGCCTACCATTCTGGTCTTCCCTGCTGTTTGACCAAGAAGAAAGAGCTAAGCGAACCCCTGATCGAAGAAGCCATGTCAGCAACCCATATATGCCAGCAGAGTTGTGGAAAGATCGAGACGAGCTCCTGAGACGCAATCAGCGAAGCAAGCTTGATCCTGTCTACGATATTTACCCGATAGAATGGCGTAAAAGGATACGTACCGTGGTTATCTCCTTGTACAAAGCCGGCATCATACAAAGTGCTTACACACCCCAAATTAAAGGTGTTGCAACTGCCGCCGCCGAACCCAACCGCGCGCTGGATTTCTACCTTGATTTCCGAGCCCAATCCAGACCTAAATTCAAGGCCGTCTTGGCGGATCCTACACCCTTGAATCGCGACTACATAGTCAAGGCGGCAAACAAGTTCGCGGCTCAGCATGGCTCTGCCATGTTTTCGGCGCTGCGAATGTGGTCTGCTCCGCACTTTTACCCCATGGAAGCTAGTGGAAATGAGACATTCGCAGACGATAGCGGCAGGTACTGGGATTGGAGATACATGCCCAAGGACTCGTCACTCAGTGAGTGGAACACGCACAAGATCGTGAGCGATATAATGGACAAATACAGACCGATATGGAGCGACCAGGTGAGAGTTGCCAGGGATCTGATCCTGGTCATTGGCAAGGACGCAGACGAGTGTCGGAGGCTCAGTGAAGGGGTGACGTGGGCTACGCAGACGCGCAAGATGTATGAGATGGACTTTTGGCGAAGCTTTGTAAACGTAGACGCCGGCTTCCTGGAAAGGTTGCATCCTGTATGGCTTTCGTAGCAAGGCGAGCAGACAGCAATGGCAGCTCCTGACAGTTCCTGATGCACTATCCCACGTCGGCGTCTGTACGACGTCCTGTCGGTCAGCAGGGTGGCTTGGCACATGCCGGAGCGGATGTACATGTACGTGTGTTGTGCATGGGAGAGCCCCCACGGAGCCCTGCCTGAAAGGGCAAGGCGTGTGTGGGAAGCTGGGCGGGTCGAAAGCGTGCGAGGGCGGCACCCTGAGCGCTGCCCCTCATGACCGGCGGCGGAGGCAGAGATTTGCAAGCACCATCTGGACGCCGCCCGAGCACGCGATCAAGCTTTGCGACGCTGGGCGCCGGCCAACCGCCCGTCAGCCCCCGAATGCGGCGCTCCCGACACCAGGTACGCGACGACTGACCTCTCCGCCCTCAACCAGCACGCGAAGGCGACCGACGCCAGCCCGGCACATGCCCAACGCGGAACTGCAGTCGATGCTTCTCACCGCCGACGCGGGCCTGGCCGAGGTCCCCGGCTGCACCAGAGAGCAATTGGACGCCCTGGCCCGCAGCGTCGAGCTGAGGAGGCAGCAGCTCGAGGCCGACATCCGGGACTACATCGCGGCCAAGCAGGCCGAGCTGCGCAGACATGGCCACGAGGTAGGCGTCCCGGCCCCTTCTCTGCGTGCCGTGAGAGACTGATTTGGGCCTAGCTTGCAGACCGGTACCGCGACATGGCAGGCGACCAGCAGCCTGCGCCTGCAGTGCCAGAGCAGAGCTGCCCAGGGCCTGCCCCGGGCCCTGCTGCACCGCTCGACCCGGCGCCCGACGACAGGATGCGGCTCAAGAAGCACACGCGCGTGCACAAGCGGGAGCGCGAGCTCTATGGACTCGTCACGCCCGTCTTCCTTCCCTTGCTCGATGCGCGCGACAGCTCGCCCGAAAAGAAGAAGACGCCAGCCGCAGGACATGCTGAGCACGCCCGAGACGACCCGAAGCCTACGAGCGACGCCCGAGACACCGCGGCCATGGCGCTGCGAGAGCCAGCCCAGCTGAAGCTGCCAGCCAAGAAGTCTGCGCTGCGGCACAAGGACACGCCTCGATCGCGCCGGAAGAGAGTCAGTCTGGTCATCCATGGCCAGACCGTCCTTCCCGCAGACACCGTCGCCGAACCACCTCTGGCTTCGCCCAGCAGCGTCGCAACATCGGCTTCCACCTCGACCGCTTCGCTCGACGACATGATAGATCCGCGACTCACCACCCCGGACCCGCCAGTCCATGTCCAACGCCGTGACGCCGTGCACCACAGCCTACCTCTCCCCATGACCAACGCCATCAACTCGGCTTCAAAGCTCCTCTCCGAAGCCCCGACACCCATATCCGTCGCCGCCGCCCACATCCCCCCAGTTGCCTCCCCACGGTCCCCCAGCATACCTTTGGGCCCTACACAGACCGCGACACCCACATTCCTCGACCCTTCGCCCGCTCCACACCAACACACCACGCAAACGATCCCGGACACCGCAGGCCCAGACCCCATCTACTCGACCGCACCAGCTACGAGTGCTGAACTCGAAATTGACGACCTCGCAGATGACGACACGAATTTCGATACTTACGTCGGCGGCTTACACGGGAGTGGTGTTGACGATGTGGATCAAGCGGGCAGTTACGGATATCCGAGTAGTCTGGGAGCCAGCTACATGGAGAGCTATATGCAGAACCGACCATTGAGCGTGAGGATGCAGGCTGCGAACAAGGCGGGCTTGGCTGACGAGGAGAAGAGGAAGCTGCTCGAGCAAAGAGACGACAACGAGGCCGAGGCTGAAGCTGAAGAAGAAGAAGATCACAGCAACAGCACGAGTGCGGGGCACAAGGCTGTTGACGCAACCGAGGACAATTTCATGGGAGACATGGACGACTTCTGAGATTGGATGCCACATCCTTGTATATACGCGCGACCTTTCGATCCTTACGCAATCTTGTTTGTTAGACACTAGGCATTTCATGTACACGACAATATCTACGGACCCTTTATACAGCGCTGTTTGGTTTACTCTGGCTCCAAGAGATACTCACACTTTAGTCCCGCTGGCTAACCTGCTGAACTCGATTTACGACTCTATCGAGCAGGCTGACCATCTCATCGCTCACGAATCTGGGGTCGTCTTGTTGGATAAAGTGGCCACAGCGGACAGCTGTGATGGGACCTATGGCTTTGCCTTCGTCCGTGATGCGACAGAGACCTTCGTTGTAGCGACGCCAAGCGGGGTTGGCATAAGTCATGGTCAGAATCTTGGGTGTCTGCATTGTACCCTCGTCTATTTGCCGGGTTAGTCTCTGTAGTCCAAGCGTCGACTTGGAAAGAGACAGGTACGTACACGACTGCTCGGCAAAAGTTTCCCAGTCATGACCTACGACTGTGAGGTACGGGCCTCTGCCCAAGTAGCCCTCGAGTTTTGGTGCATCTGCGTAGGGTAATAGTTGTGGCAGATTACGTCTGGATAACCCCTCTTGACTAGGAACGTCGGGATGGAACATTCTTCTATACTTTTCTCTGGTAGCTCGTACTTCGTCTTGTGTGACACCTTCGGGTAGTGTGTGCGAGTTGAAGTCTGGTGCATCGGGGTCCGGCCACAGGTCTTGGTAGTCCGAGTTGGCCATGATGCTGTCCAGGAACAACAGACCAGATACGGTTCCTGGATAGCATTGCGCAAAGAGTCTTGCAAGTGCGCAGCCGATGCTGTTGCATACAAAGATGAGACAGGGGTAGTGCGTAGGTTTGTTGACGTCAAGGTGTTCCCTCCAGATTTGTAGGGTAAATTGCTTCAGTGCTTTGACTGCAGATATCGCGTCGTGTCCGTGGGACGGGGGTGGTTGCTGGTCGTCGGGATCAGGATCTGAATCTCCTTGACCATATCTATCGTAGCTCAACAGAGCAGGATACGGTAGACGCCCCACTATTCTCTTTTCCAGAAAGCTGCGCATGGCAGGATCCCATGAGCTTCTTGGCATCATGAGCCCGTTGAGGAAAACGATGAGCGTTTGCGAGAAAGGGTTCGGATGGCCGCCGTGAGGTTTGGATGCAGGGTAGTACGTGTAGTGCAAACGTGCACCGGGCTTATTGTCCAGTGCCAGTGAGGAAACCTCGGCATCCGGAAATGGTGGAAGGTCATCTTCGGATGAGTTCATGCTACCGGGGAATGGAATCGCGTAGCTGCGATTGTTCATGGAGTCGTGTTCCCGAGCTGTGTTGATGGGGTCTGCTTGTGCCGAATTGGTACCTGGTGAATTAGCCTGGTCCATGGTAGCAGGCTTTTCCCTTGTTGCCGGCCCTCCTCTTTCTTTCCTGGTCAAGCCTGAGTACTTGAGTTGCGGAGAGATGTACGGGAATGCATCCATGGCCTGGCGCAGTGGGGGCCCAGCGATTACCAGCCATGCAAATTGAGAAGGGGCGATGTGCAACTGAAGCGGAAGACGCCGGAATGGGGTCTATCGGGCAGACAGAGACGGCTGCAAGATTCAGGAACGAGTAGGCAGCTGTTGTGTTCACGGAGGCTAATTCGAGAGTGCATTCAGCAACACATTACCCCTCTTCGCGTCCAAGGCGGGAGAGAAGAGCAGGATCTAGGTCTCGATCGGAACCAGGGCCTATGCTGCCAATGAGCTCTCACGTGTAGGCGTGTTCCATGTCGCCAAGGGTAGCGATGTTCAAAAGGGTTACGAGGTCGACCAAAGTGGTGCGCGCGCGGTATCGGTCGAGACGATGATGTCGCGAGATGGCGCGAGATGGCGCGGGTCACGGGCACCCGCTCATGGCAGCCGAGCGCGAAGGCGGGTGGCTTGGAGATTCTGGCAGACTAAGAAACAAAGCGTGAAACCAGAAGCGAGCGCTGCAGGAGAAGGAACCTTGGAAAACACACGGCGCTGCAATGGGTGGGGGCGACGTATGCAGCCAGGAACCGGCGGCTATGACGTGGGCGGGTTCCCTTTCACCGTAGCCGCGTGCCGCGTCGCTGCATGTGCGCTGGCTGCGTCCCCTTGATATGAGCAACATCTCACCCACGCCGTTCCTGCCAGCCGCTTCCCATCGCCCAGTCTTACGCCCTCCACTCCGACGCATCCCGCTTTGGCTCGTCTCTTCACCACCCGACGCTGCCCACGAGCCCGCAGTGTGCAGTAGGTTGGTTTGCTGCCCCCAGAAGGCGCAGAAGTCGACTAACCGCCTTGGAGAGTTGATGCACCCTGACCATGTGAGAGATGGACTATACGAAGTGCATGCACGACATAGACTGACTCGGTATCTTCACCTTTGCAGGCCATACGCCGACGCTCACACCCAGACCGTCTGGGCTGGCCTTTGCAGGATGCATGTCCGCCCTGACATCCTCTTCACGGCACCCGACACTACCACTCCGCCCGCCGAGATGGTAACGGACAAGTTGCAGGGCCTCGACAACATGGTGACCGGCGCCCAGCTGGGCACCCTCGACTCCAATGGCGCCTCGTTGCAGAGCCTGCTCCAGAGGCGACACAGACGGCCGGGCATGCCCACACGCATCTCTCTGCCCCCGGCTGATGTCGACGACCAAGTCCTCCCCTCTCCGCCTCCGACCCACGCTCTCCTCTCCCCGTTGCCCGAAGCCAACAAGCGCTTTGCCGGCCACACTCCGCTGATTCCACGCGCCCTTTCGCCAGTGCAAGACGAGCAGCCCGCTGTGCAAGAGCCGCCTGCCCAGGAAGAGCAAGCGGGCACACCGCCAGAAGACCAGCCCTTGATAGGCCCACTGATGCTGCCTACCAATCCCGTCGATGGTGCAAGCGACCACATAGCACTCGAAGTGCTGGACGATGTACTCGAACAGGTTGCCAAGGACCAGGACAGGTTCAGCAAACTCAAGGGTGCCCCCGACCCTGCAGCTCCCCCCGCACCCGCCGAGAACGCCCAAGAGGACTTGCCATTGAGTCACAAGGCATCGGTCGCATCGCGCAATCCGTGCGCCACCAAACTTGTCGACGGCGTCAGGCTCAAAAGCCC